GTCTTTGAACACATGGCATATGGCACATAGAGGGTTAAAGTTCTACTGCGTGGTAATTCTATGGTAAATCACTAAAGGATAAAATGTGAAAACTATGTGTTGGGAAAAAAAATTCCTAAAAAAAGGAAGTGTGTTAATGGGCAAAATTTTTGTTATGCCACACATTTACCAATAATTCCACACATGAACTCAACCATGCATGGTTTATCAACAAACATTGCATCCCCCAATCTCCATTCACACTTTACACAATACATAACTTCACATCGTTTACCAAGCTTACTAGTAAGGGACTAGCACAAAAGTGTGTCTATGAAAGTGTGGCCATTAATGTGTATAGGCCAAGAAATTGAGCAAAGTAGAGGGCATCACTTATGTGCCCCTTCCACAACATGCAAACACCTATATAACTATCATGGAGAGAATTGAAAAACACATATGGAATTGTTAGTCACTTATGTGCAAGTGTAATGTTCTAATGCTTGAGATTGCACTCACTACAATGAGTGTGAAGCTTATGCCAAAAATAAAAACTAAACAAAGGAAGCTTACCTCACTTGGAGAAACACACACATAGCATTGTGATTGTATTGTCCTTGAGTAAAAAAAAAGGCCTTAGCCAACAATCCAATGCAGTGCTCCAACTGCCACATGTTGAAGTCCATGCTCAACACCTCTCTCTTGCATGTGCTTGTATGCAAGAACACCCATGTTGCACAGAATAGCACAACACACCCAACACATGAAAGAACAAGAGTCACAGCCATCCATACATAAAGACCTTTCACCCAAATCCTAATGAATGAAACTGCTCATGTGCTCTTGCTTTTGAAGTGCCCATATGATGCCCACACTGCTAGCCGAAGAAAGTCCTTTGCTCTTGAAGTGCCCACATCACACCCACTGCTACCTGCAGTGAGACCAAGTGAGCGAGTGCTCATTTGATCAAGCTGACACCCACCATGGCTGCCCACATAGAGTGGCCAAGATTGTGCGAAAGTTGTTGCTCTTGGCCGGACAAGAAGGAAGAAAATGCAGTGCAAAAAACAAAAAAACCCATGCTAGATTTCATGTAACATTACATGTACTTGCATGGCAAGATTAAGTGGCATGACAGTCTAATGTGTCACACTAATATGGTAGGACCTCATGCCATACCCATACACACATTTTGGTTCCTTAGGCAATCAAAATGTAATTATTTTTATAACATGGACTCATATGTTAACCTTATGTAAGCTTTTCTCTACCTTATGCTTATTTTATGTTAAGGCACTGAGGCTGCTTGCTACAAATTGATTGCTATACACTTGTGCTCAACTAAGAGGCATGGGATGGGACCTTACAAGTGGATAGTTAAAAATTTATGAAATCCTCAAGGAAAAGTTCTCATTGCAATTTATCACTTTGGTCCTTCTAATCTTCATTAATAACTAGCTTCCTTTCCATTTTTGTGCCAGGTTATGAAGTTGAGACCATGCAATAGCTCAATAAGCACCTCACTCAACTTGAGAGAGGTAGCATGAAAGCTGAAGAAGTGCCTATCATGTAAGTGAGTTTAAAGTTCTAAGTGATTTTCCCATAATTTATATCACTGAAAAGGAATAGAGTGTCTTTTGATTTCGTGCTTTAGCCTGGCACAAAGTGATAGGCAATAAAATGGCAATAGTAAATAGGAAGTAATTGTAACACATTGAAGGTCTATTTCTGGGCAGTACTCCAATGGAGCTCACAACACCCAGGCCCCATATCCTAGCAATCCTCCCTGTCAAATCCCATGGACAGCACTTTGCAGTGGAGCTTGCAGCACCCATGGAACTCAAGACAAGGTTACTGAAATTATATCACTGGAATTATTAATAGAGAGGCAAAATGGTATAAACTAAACTAAGGTAACTAACTAAGGTAAAATTCCTCAGTAAAGAATCCCAGATAGTCATTATTTATGCCCAATTAAATATCACTTAAATATGAGATGGATAGATTACATCATATAGAAAAGAAGATATTAATTAATTTTTCAGAATACTATTTTGACTCTTATCTTGCACATGAAACAGAAAATAGTAATATATTTTTAAAAAATTATTTGAAAATAACTAAATATTAAATAATTTTTTAAAAGTAGAAAAACTATATTTAATTTTATTATATTGGAATTACTTTCTATTTATATGTGTGTAAATTTTGAATATAATTTAAATAACCACGGTTTCTGTAAATATTGTGAGGTTGAATTGATTATAATTGAACTTATTGGCTATTATAGAGCATCTATTAATCTATCACATGAATATAAATTAGGATACTTTTTTCCTATAAAATTTATTGTTGTTAATTTAAGTCTTTTTAAACATAATGTCATTGGAGATATTTGTACTACTTCACCAAGGAATTTACGTTGGATTTTTACAAGAAATTTTAGACTATTATCATTATTTTAATTAAATATACATAACTATAAGAATAATTATGATCCTTTGCAGATTAACATCCCTTGGAATCCAAATAATTGTTGACCATATAAGAATTTTATTGAAACTGGACCTTTAGTCAATAGCATATTGTATCCTGGCTCAACTTTGTATTCTATTAATTTAGAATAAAATTGTGCATACAAAATATTTTCGATCAAAACCACTGCAGTTCCTTTTCAATGGAGTAGTGGAACAATAGGGACTATTTATTCTAGTATTATAATTAGATGGTAATTTTATTTATATGGAGTTAATGGTATTTCTTTGGAGTATAAAGTTTTATATTCCCAATACTTGTGCTTTTGTTATTGAGCCTAGTGGAAATGAAATTTTTTATTTGGCAGATAAACAACAATCTATTGTTATTTAATCTAAAAATAGAAAACTAACTCTATCTAGTTGTGAGAGCACAAGGAGGGTGGATTCTTTCTTCCTGCTCCTTGCCTCTACTTTTATTGCCCTTGCTGGAATACCCTTGTGATTGAAATAAATTTACTTAGTCCAATGGTCTCATTGGTGTTGATACCAATAACAAGGGGTGGCTTCACTTAAACACCTGGCTACGGTTTTCTTATGATGATGTTTTTATGGGATGGTGCCAGGTAACACACCCGACCACACTTCTACAGGTGGGACAAAAGAGGATGACAGATGAATAAGCATGAGCAAATGTGGAGGGGAAGTTGTCGAATGTCCACTGAAATGAATCCATTTGAGTAAGGTAATTAGTGAGTTTGCTCATGCTTAATATGTTAGGGTGCTCTTTACGAGTATAGATAGATGCACTATTTTTATTGGTTTACATGGGTGGACTTGCTAATTAATTAAGCTATCCTTACATCATCCAATGGCATTACTTTGGAAGGAAAAACATATATGAATTGATTAGCTGAGATTTTCATTAAAGCTTCAAAGTATTCAAATTATATCAATGAGTGACTAGATGTCACAGAAGAAGGTTTTGCAATCTTTGTTGATGGCTTTTAGTATAGTATGATTGATAAAGTTTTATAATGGGTTTACAAAGGTGATGCAAATATAAATAGTATGTAAATATTTTTATTAAAAATTTTAAATTTCAAAACATCCATTACTCAATGTCCTTTTAGGGACTAAAAAAAGTACAAAGTGAAATTCAAGTGAAACTCTCTTGAGCACGAAAGCCTCCACACTGCTCTTGGTCCCTTCTCCTCCCAAGTGACTCCTTCATGAAGCTAGAGCCACCACTATGCCCTAGGGAACGCAAGACTCTTCCTAGGATGCTCTTCCTCTCGACTGCCAACATATTGAGCCATTTTTTGTTCAACTAACTTCTCCAAAGCCACATCATGATGAAACCTTGGGGTGTGACCCTCTTCCAATATAAGCTGCTAAAGCATGCACCTGTTTGTGAAAATGTTTTAGACCACTTCGAAATATGCCCCATTTTCAAAGAAACTTAGGTTGTTTGCACAAACCCCCTCAATTGAAGCTCTATCACAATAAGATCTGAAATATCTCCACCATGCAGCTCTGTGTCAATCTGACCCACCCAACATCCAAGCAACCAAGCAGAATGAGAGTGATGTGGTGTTGATGCAGCCACCTTCCACTGTTGTGATAACAATCCTTGCCACTATATCCAAAAATCCCCTAAAATCCCCTAAAATCAATCAGATTGTTGATAGTGGTAGTTTTAATTTCAAAATTGTAAGAAGTAATTTAAAAATAATGTTTTACAATTTTAAGCAATTTCTACCAAAGTAGAAAGAAACAGAACTAACACACTAGTGTCTAATCAAAGTTGTCACACACATCCTCCACTATTATTCATTGTTGTAATTGTTGTTGTAGTTATATTTATTGTGGGTGACATTGTAGTTTCAGTTTTTGGTTACATATAAGTTCCACTGCTAATGCCAAGCTCAGAATGTGTTGTCCCTTGTTCACAGTTGCAGTTGCAGCCATAGCATTTCCTACTCTTATGAAATCTCCAGCTTGTGGAACAGTTTTTTGTTCTTGTTTAAAGCTCCTTTCATTGAAGTGGGACTATAATATTATATTTGATATTCATCCACTACCATCACTACCGCTTCTCTAGAACTAGCAACATTGGCAACCAGAGAGAGGAAACAAAAACATTTCCATAATCATATCGTGCAAGCTTTTTTATATACAACTCTACCTATTAGTGCTCAGTTGTCTTCCTCGTTTTTGTCTTCTTGTTTCCTGGATTTGGTGCTCAAAACCTCCTTGCCTCCTTTTGACTGTTCAATGTCCTCGTGGAGCCGATCCATGTCTGCTTGTCTCTTCAAGCCTGAGTTTCTCGGTTTTCTTCTTCTCGAGCTCCACCCTACTCAAACATGCTCGTTTGATAAACCCAAAGAGAAAAAAATACGAAGAAAGATTTACAAATAGTTTGTCCTGTACTCAGTGAAAACCCCATCATTCCAGATCCTGTGATCCCCCACCGATATAAAGTTGTTGTAAAACTCATCCAAAACCAAGCACATGCTCTTGCTGAGAGAGACGCAGCATAACTGCTAACTGAAAAGCCTTTAAGTCTTTCATTCACTGCACCAAGAAATCATTCTTTAAAAACACGCGCCTCAACCTGGCAAGTAGGAAGGTACCTCAACAGAAAACGGTTGCTTCACACACCTGTCTTGTTAAAGGTGAGAATGAAAGGCAGCTGCATCTTGTAGAGAATGCTACAGGCGGAGAGCATGTTTCTCATGAATGTAACTGGGCTGACCGAAGATGTCCACAACGCAGATCACGGACGATGGAAAGGTGCACGCAAAGGCCTCTGTGACGATTGCTCCCGACGCAGACCAAGTAAAAATCTCTATCTGTCCGGGAGTGTAGATGAGCACGTAGTCCACTTCGTTGTCTCTCTTCTCCACGATCTAAGAACAAAACCAATAGGAATTCTTTTGTTTTTAAGTCAAAAAACTAACTGACCTCATCGATCTTCGTCGCGAAGAGATTGAGCGATGTCCATTCAGTCTGTTGCAGTACTCTGGGCCACTGCTTCATGGCGTGAATCTCCAGACGAGGTGATGCATCAGCAGCATCTTCCCACTGCCTACGCAACGGAGGAGAACAAAGAAGGAAATTCTCAACCTGGTGGGAGAGCACCATTCTGATGATGATCAAGACCACTGGCCTCTTGTCAAACACCTCCATTCTTTCATCTTGTTGCGCATATCCTCCGCATCCGTTTGCTCTTCCTCACACTGAAACCGTAGACCTAATCACCTCTTTTCTACTTCTTGTTGCTGATGGTGAAATCCAACACTACGCTCAAAACGTTTGTGAGAGAGGTCCTCGTCGTATATATGAAGCCATGGCCGAGGAGGGACTTCTTAGCCACCACATTGACTAGTTCCTTTAGGAATGCTAGACATTTTTGCATCAATGGTGTAATAAAAATAATTTATAAAATAGAAAAGAAATGAAGAATACTATTTTAACACTACCATTAAAATCAAATATTCAAATTATTTTTAGATTTTATTTCTTTTGAATACAATTAGAAATTAAACCTGAAGTTCACAATGACAAAACAAAAATTATACTTCATTTTGTTATGTTGCAATAACTTTAACCTTCTATATGGAAGTACAGTAAATTTTGAATATGATGAAGATAACCTCGGGTTCTTTAAAAATGGCGAGGTTAGATTAATTATAACAGAACTTATTGATTACTATAGAACATCTATTAGTCTAAATCAAGAATATAGATCTGGCGATGCTCTTCCTATAAGAATGATTGTTATTGATGGTGTTTCAGTATTTTTAAGCCTTTTTATACATAATTTTATTGGAGGTACTTGTAGTGCTTCACCTGGAAAAATTGTAATTTCTAGTAATGAAGTTTTAAAAGCATGTAATGATATTGTTCACTCCATGGAAAGCATATCTGGTTCAAAATTTATAATAGGGGTTTCTAATATTTTTATATTGAAATACTTTACAAACAATTTCAGACCATTATCAATATTGAATTTAAAGAATAACTATTATGATGTTTTGCAAATCAATTCTCCTTGGAATCCAAATAATTGTTGGCCATATAAAAATTCTATTGAAACTGGCCCTTCAGTTCATACCACTTTATATCCTGGTTCTGCTTTATATTCTATTAATAATAAATTTATTTTTATTTTAGACTCAAATTGTGCTTTAAAAATATTTTCAATTGAAACTATTTCAGTTTCATTTCGATGGAGTAGTGGAACAAAAGGGTCTAATTGCATTCTAATATTACAATTAGATGGTAATCTTGTTTTATATGGAGTTAATGGTATTGTTTTATGGAGTATTAACTTTTATATTCCAAATGGATTAACTACGTGTGCTTTTGTTATGGAGCCAAGTGGAAATGCAATGTTTTATTGGGCAGAAAAGCGACAATCTATTTGGTCATCTTATAGTGAATAAAAAATAAATATATACTACATATCTCTCCTCTTGCATAGATGTTTTGATTATACTCGTCTCATTTATTTTTACATTTTTGACAAAGTACAAAAAAACTTAAAGTGTAGGCATGTGATTTTAAAGCAGGTGTTTATCAATAAAAGAGTACAATACAAAAGACTCATTATGATATGAAAGAGAAAAGAACGAAATTGTGTTAAAATTCTTTAGTAAGTACAAAATTCTTAAAACTCTAGTTGATGGAAATTAATCTTTAGTAAGTTAATCCAAACCTATAATATAAGCATGATTTATACAAATCTGGTAAAAAAATCTCATCCAGTAAAGGTATGTTGAAAAGATATAAAAGCAACCAAATATATTAGGATAGATATGAGTGTTTAACTTAGAAAAAGTGTCAAATTGATTAATGAGAAATCAATAAATGCTTGTAAGGGCTTTTAGAAGCGGTTAATAAAGAGTTATTTCGTCACTTTTTTCAATTAGTGTGGTATAATATGTTCTGCAAATTATTAAGGACCTTTTAGTCTTGTAATATTTGTAATGTTGATGATTATAATATTATTATACTCATATTTTCATCAAACTTAAGAAATATTTGATAGCATATGGATCATCTGATTCAGACTGAATCAGATCCATTCATTCTTGTGTCTAAACCCCAAAATAACTGTATTCATATATAAGTAAAATAATATTAAGACATTCTACCAATTGAATGAGCTTTACAACTTTCTTTGGGTAGTGGAAGAGAACTTCAAGAGACAGTCAGAGGCCTCATTCATGTACAATTCACAAGTGACACACAAAGGCCACCATTAGCAGAGCACCATAATAAGGCAAAAGACAGATGGTGGATAGTAACAATCATCATCCAAATTGCTTGCGTAAAGGTGTCATTCTTCATGGCTAAACCATGTAAACAATAATGCAATCAAATATGTTTAGGTTTAAGGTTTAGTATTCACCTTTTACCAACCCTGTAAGTATTCTTGAAAGAAGCATATGCTAATCCAAATATTTAATTTAGGTGTAACTAATTCAAATATATTGTTTTAATTGAATTCTAGTTTAATATTTAGATTGTACTATACTGATTGCAAAAAGACAACTTTATAACTACAAAAAGAAAAAGTTACTATATTTAAAATTTCTCTTTTATATTATGGCTATGATGCCATATACTAATATTAGCATAGTGAGATTTTGGTAGCCGTTAGATTGATTTCACTCGTTCTTATATATAAACTAGGGTTTTTGGGCTAATTGATATATTTCTATATTCTCTTTCCATATTCTATACACTCATATTGATGGAGATGAGGGGCAACTTTGATTGTTCTTGAGGAGTGCTTAGATTTGGGATTTTTTTTTAGATCTAACTTTTGCATTGTCTAAATCTCCCTTTTTTTTTATAGTTTTTCTCACCTTCTTCTCTTTTGGTCTTTCCTTTCGTTCATCTTCATGGCAAAGCAGTAGCCTCCTCCTCCTTTAACTTTGGAGCAGTAGTTGGTGCAATTGATCAATGCTATACAATTGCAATTGAACAATTAGACTCAGTTGATAGCGACATTCATAGCGTGTGGTACAACTCCTGCTTTTACTACTAATCCTTGAGTCCAACCGGAGTTCTTCCGTGGGAATCCTGGGGTGTAAGCAACAAAAAAAAACGACTTGAGAGATTATCTATTGGGTTCAAATATAGAGGGAAAGGGTCTATTAATAAGAATGCACGCCCTTTTCCAATCCGTTAATGGTTTTGGGATACTTGGGGTTAAGCATCTTTGGGTTTGAATAGTATTAGGTTGGGTGACCTCCTGGGAAGTCTAAATTTAAGAGATTACATTTGGTATCAGAAAGGTTTTGGGTTTGACTCTGTTAGTTGGCTAAGGGAATCACACCACATATTGATTAACATTTGGTAGGTCTAGTTTACTTCAGCTGGGCTTGACCCAAGGGGTAGAGTGTCAAGAGAGTGGGGCTCTTGGGAAAGCTGTAACTCTCAACTTCTATTTTTATTCATGAAAAGGGCTCATGAATAAGAATACACCCCCTTTTTCAATCGGTTAAGGGTCTTGGGATATTTTGGGTTAAGCATCCTTGGGTTTGAATAGTACATGGGGATGATGTGTACCATTGATTCAATAACTTCATGGTGATTGATATATATCATTCTTGGGATGATGCTTGGTGTTTGCATGAATTTTCCATGTGTCTTTAAAGGACAATACTATAATGGTACAATGGTTTGAGTGCAGCCACTCGTGAGGATTAAAGCATTCTCCTAGACGTCTTCAAACGTGTATTTGAATATGTCAATAATTGTGACAATGCCTTCCAACAATTGCATCATCTTCAACAAGAGATATTTAAGTCTGTGATGTAATTTGGCGTTTTGTTCCGAAGCCTCTTGCTTCGTGTGAAGCTAAATATGTCAGAGCAGATCAAGTTAAGAATGTTATAGCTAGCATTTCATCAAAATCTTGTAAGACTTATGTATGCATTTGCTTTAACCACCTTTATGTGAGACATAAAATCCTTAGGCCCCAAAGAGGAGCCGAAAGGGTGCCACATGGTAGTGGCTGAGGCGGAAGCCAAATGAGGGTAACACATATAGACTAAAAACTCAAATTTGAAAAGTTGAAAGCAGGAGTGGAACTCCTAATAAAGTGCTTGAGGAATGAGCACGAAGCAAGTAATAAATGAGTCTCTAAAAAAGGGACACAAAAGGACCAACACATGACATGTGGAAGGACCCAAGATGGAGTCCGAGATGGACTTGGGAGTCCGAGATGGATTTGACATGGAGTCTGAGATGGATCCGAGATGGAGTTTGAGATGGACTTGAGATGGACTCCGAGATGGATCCGAGATGAAGTCCGAGATGGAGTCCGAGATGGGGTTCAAGATGGACCCCAGATGCAGTCCGAGATGGAGTCCAAGATGGACTTGAGATGGAGTCCGAGATAGAGTCCAAGATGGACTTGAGACCGAGACCGAGATTGAGTTTGAGTCTGAAATCGAGACCAAGACCGAGACTGAGTCTGAGACTAAGACCGAGTTCGAGTCCGAGTCCAAATCAGTGGTACTCAAGTCAGTGGTACCTTTGGGTGTCGATCATGGGATTAGACATATGGAGCACTTGGACCAAGTGGAAAGGTTAAGTGGCAAGGATGCCATTCTTGAGGCTAGCAAGCCCCAAGTCCGGAATAGGACTTATGGAGGTTGTGAGTGAGACTCCTCCAAATGGTTGAAAGTGTGGTTAAGTGACTAAAGTAGAATGGAAAATTTAGTCGCTAACACTTTGATGATGCACAATTTTATGAGATGTCGCCTCTTTCACTTCTCACTATGCATCCTTCAACTCCACTTTCTGTGGGAGATGGTCCTGTTCCAATGGAGATTGATATTGCTATTACCCGAGTTCAAAGATAAGGGCGAGAATGTGGTTATGGCTATGATGTTTGCTGTTAGGCATATAATGAAGTTGGTCATACTTATCAGCATTATTGGCATTTTCCAAATTGGTGACCTCCATCTTGGGTGGAAACCTTGGTGTCAACAACATCCTATTAGTACTGCTATAATAGAAGGTCTAGATACTAAGATGGTTTTGAGAAATTAGGAGTCACTAACATCCTACTGGTACTACTGCAATAGAAGGTTTGGACACTAAAATGCTTTTGAGAAATTAGGAGTCATGTGAGTAGCGAAAGGACCTTGTGCAAATAAGTCAATGACCTTTCC